AGAGAGAGAGAGAGAGAGAGAGAGAGAGAGAGAGAGAGAGTGAGAGAGAGTCGCAAGAGGACGCAGAGAGAGAGAAGAGTCGCGAGAGGACGCGGAGGGGGGGGGCAGGGCGAGGCGAGGCGAGGGGCGGCCTCGAAGGGCGGCAGCGCGCGCAGATGGGCGCGAAACGCGCGCTGCTGCTCCTTGACCGGCACCGAGAGGGCGGACGTGAACGCCTCCAGCTTGCGGGCCGCGTCCTTGGCCGCCCTCTTGCGCACGTTGCCCTTGACGGCCGAGGGCGGAGCCGTCGCGGCCGCCTGCCGGCAGAGAGAGAGAGAGAGAGAGGGCGGCTGTCACGGCGGCGGCGCGATGCAGGCGGCCGCGGGCTAGAGCACCTTGCGAGCAGCCTTGAGGAGCCGGCCGGGCCCGCGAAAGTCGGGCAGGTCTGCGAGCCGCGTCGGCCCAGCCGAGGCAGAGCCCGCCGGCGCAGCGCTCGCGCCGCGTGCAGCTGCGGCGCCGACGGCAGGATGCGAAGCGGTCGACACTCTGCGGGCGCGCGCCCTCTCTCGCGCCTTTTGGGTGATGCCGCCCGGCGCCGAAGACGTGCGGCGCTTACCGCCACTGGTCGCGCACACAACCGTCGAGAGGCGGTGGGCGAGCGGGGCTGCTGCGGCCGGCCGCACGGGCTGTAAAGGAGAGCGACGGAGAGCAATGCTCACGGACGCGAGGGCCAGCGCCAAGCTGCCGCCCATCCTCCCGCGTTTCTTTTTTGAGCCTCGCCCCTAGCCCTTCTTACCTTTCTCCTCTGTTTTCAGTGTCTCTCTGCAGTATGCGCCCCCGCCCTGACGCGGCCCCGCCGAAGAACGGCGAGAACAATGGACGGGGACGTCCAATATGCGGATTACCATTGGACCACCGCCGTAGTAAATCCGATTGCGATTGGACGCCCGTTGAGGATGAGGGAGATCACACTCCCTCGACTGATCTGAACTCTGCTTCCCCATTCCCACAGTCACCGGTGCTCAACACTTGGGTGTCAAGCTGCAGTAACTGCGGGATGTGGCAACAAAGTTGGGACAACCAAGCATGTTAGAAGCCTGAGCGGGGCTAAGCACACACACGGGCAGACTGCGAGAGTATCAGCATGCCTGACTGTGATGGCCATGCTTGGCACACGACGCAACCCCAAACTGCGGCTTGACACCCCAAGTGAAAGCGGCCGGACATAGGTGAACCCACCGAAGGCCGCAGGGCACAGCGCAGGGAAGCAGAAACTGTCGCATCCGCGACGGTCGTAGAGGGCATTGAGCACTGTGCTCATCCGGCCCCCAGAGGCACGTGCCGTATGTTGCTCACGGCATCTCCTCTCCGGTACAGCCAGCCTCCTAGCCCTTAATGCGAGGCGCAATGCAGCCAAGCACATCACAACTTGCTGTGCCATAGCTCCGTTGCTGGGTTCCTTTCGTAAGGGATTGACCAGCACCGTGTTCGCAAGTTACTTTCGTAGAGCTCGCTATGCACGGCCGGGGCACTGCGAGCTGTACCAACAAACGGCAGTCGCCAGCCAGACTGTCGCCAGAGAGGCCGCGCTGGCCTTTGTGCGACCGGCAAAGGGCACCGACTGCGGGCCAAGAGGCACCGCCTCGGCCCCACGAAGGTCAGCCCAAGCTCAGACGCGCCTGCGCCCCCGCCCTGACGCTGCCCCGCCGAAGAACGGCGAGAACAATGGACGGGGACGTCCAATATGCGGATTACCATTGGACCACCGCCGTAGTAAATCCGATTGCGATTGGACGCCCGTTGAGGATGAGGGAGATCACACTCCCTCGACTGATCTGAACTCTGCTTCCCCATTCCCACAGTCACCGGTGCTCAACACTTGGGTGTCAAGCTGCATTACGTTCGTACCGAAAAGAAAACCTTGTCGCATGCTGATCATGCTCCCTGCGCTTGCCCTGGCGCTTCGCCTGGCGCCGCTGCCTTACCTCCTTCGCTCGGCACCGCTGCGCGCGGCTCCGCCCGTGATGACCAACCTCCTCGAGACGTCGGAGCTCGCCCCACCGCCCGAAAGGGTGGTCGCCGCGGTGGAGGCCGCCAAGGGTGCTCGGCTCACGGCGGCCGACCTGGCGGCGCAGTCCGGCGTCAGCATCGACGAGGCGCGCCGCGGGATGAGGGAGCTCGCCACGGCGCTCGCCGGCTGCGACGGCGTCTCCGTTTCCGCGTCCGAACAAGGCGACCTGCTGTACTCCTTCCCGGCAGATGTCCGCAGGGAGCTCGCCTCGCGCTCGGCGGCCGCCAAGGCGCGCGACGCGTGGAACTCGGCGAAGCCCGCGCTGCAGACGGCTGGACGCTTCGCCTTCGGCCTCGCGCTCTTCGCCTCGATCGCGGTCGTCTTCACCGCCATCACCGTGCTCACCTCTGGCGGCGACGAGCGCGACGACGAGCGCGACCGCGGCTTTGGCGGCGGGCGCGAGCGCAGCCTCTTCGGCTTTGGCTGGGGCCAGATCTCGCCCTTCGACATCCTCTTCCCGAGGCCGTACGGCTTCTACTCGTACGGGTGGTTTGCGCCGCCGCCGAGGATGACGCTGCCCGAGGCCGTCTTCTCGTTTGTCTTCGGAGACGGCGACCCGAACAAGGCGATCGGCGCGGCGCGGCTGCGTGCGATGGCGGAGGTGATCCGCTCCAACAGCGGTGCGGTCACCGCCGAGAGCCTCGCTCCCTTCCTCGACCCTCCGCCGGCCGGCACGTTCGCCGAATCGTACAACGTGGACGAGTCTTGGGTGCTGCCGGCGGTGACGGAGCTGGGAGGCCGGCCCGAGGTGAGCGGCGAAGGGACGATCGTGTATGTCTTCGACGAGCTCACGGTCTCGGGCCTCGCGTCCGAGGCGAGCCTCGTGCTTGCCGACCCCGCCCTCGCTGCCGTCCGCACCCTCGACGCGGCCGAGCTCGCAAGGCTCGCGCAGGAGCGTGCGATCCCCACGCAAGGAGCCGATGCGGGCGCACTCCGCGACGCGCTCCGCTCGTGGGCTGGCGAGCAGCTCGGCGGCGGCGGCGGCGGCAGCCTCTTCCCCGGAGGGTACCTCGAGGAGAGGACGGCGCCCTTCTCAAACGCCGAGGGCGGCCAGCTCTTTGCGGCGGGCGCGCTCGGCCTCCTCAACTTGGGCGGCTGCGCCTACCTCGGCTCTCTGCTCGCGCAGCTGCCGCCGGGCGCGCAGCTCCCGGGCGAGCTCGGTGCCGTCCAGGCTGTCTTCCCGCTCCTGCTGGCCTACGCCGTCAGCTACGTCGCCATCCCGGCCGTCCGCTTCGCGCGGCTGCAAGCCGAGAATGCCGCCGTCGCGCAGCGGAACGCCAACCGGCGGGCGTGGCGGGACGCGCTGCGGCGCGGAGGCAGCGAGCTGCAGAAGCGGCTGGAGGCGGCCAGCCGGCGGGGCAAGAAGCTCCGACTCGTGTCCGAGGAGGACGTGGCGTTCGACTCGTCGAAGTCGCTCGGCGAGCAGCCCGAGCAGCAGACACCCGCCCTCGACGACTTCGACCGCCGGCTCCGGGATGCCACGCGGTGATCCGGTGAACCCCCCCGCCCTCGCAGGATTGCCCAGTGGCAGTGGAGTTTCGTATTCGTACCGGCGAGGCTGGCCGTGGGTGGACAGGGCGCGTAAGGCGCGTAGCATGTGAATGGAGAATGCGGCCATCTGTGGGGTTAAACGTGGATAGCTATTCTCCGAGAATTCTCTTGAATATTTAAATAAGGGCTAGTTCCATTTCACTGTTCACAGCTCGCCCGTTACAAAACCTTGATTTTGACCATTTGCGCCATTTTGTCCCCGCTCTCGGCGGTGCCTTCCAGAGGCAGAGCTGCGACCTCCCGCCGCCGAGTAGACGCGGTTGCACACAGCACTCAGCAGTGTGTGGGGTTGGCGCGGTGTGCAACCGTCCACTCGGCGGGGTCGCGGGATACCGCGAGCAGGTAGCCCCCCATACTAATAGCACCAGCCATGGCCTCAGGGAAGCGCGGGCGAGGGCGCTGGGAGCAACACGCTACACGGACAAAAGACTCGGTTCGCCTCAGATTTTGACCCACCCCAAGACCAGCTCTCAGACTCAGGGAAACTCGAGAGTTGCCAGAATGGAGCACCAAAAACACCCTCAGTTTAAATTTCCGGAAACTCAAAGTGCTGGGGACCCTCTGGTTGCCCTCTGGTTGCCGGACGGAAAAACTCTCCTCCCTTTAGGTTAGGTAGGAAGGTGACGAACAGCCCAGGCTCGGACTGGACACCAACGCGGTATGGGTGGACGCTGGACAGATGATGGCGACAAACATCAAAAGTGACATGCACATGTCACGGCCACCGCCGGCTCGACCCCACGATCGCCTCTGAAGGCTGACTTTGCGGCACCATCATCGGACGATGTCGACGAGTTGGGTCGCTCTTGCGGTAGCCAGATGACCTCTCATACTAGGATCATCGACCGTGGCCGCAGGGAGAGTGCGGGGGATGGCGCTGGGAGCCTGGGTGCTGGGAGCAACACGGAGCTCCGTTGGAGACGTTTTCAAGATTAGCGTGTCAGAGTGAATTGGAACTAGCCAAGACGTGTGAATAAACAAAACTAGACAACAACATGATAGACCGAAACAGCACGCATTGCACGCCGGCTCAGCTACAGCACGTGCACGAGAGCTCAGAGGTCGACGCGACACACGGCCGATACATCGATAGAGTTCGCGGAGCACGCGTGCGAGCCACCGCCGGCGCGCAGAGAGACGACGCGGAGGCGAACAGGTGTACCTATCTGACCTTCCGTGTGGCGTAACCCGCGTGAGCTAGAGAGACAAAGAGGTACAGTGGCTTCTCGCTCGGCAAGGGCAGACCCAGGCGTCTAGAGGCGGCGCGGGCCCTCCGTTCTCAGGCCGGGCACTCCATCCGCTACTTCGGCGGTGCCAGCTCGTCGCGGAGCAGGTCGCCCACGCCGTTCTCTTGGAGCCTGGTCCAAGCGGACACAAAGTCGGCGAAGAACCGGCTCTGGTCCGCGGCGTACTCTTCGACGACCGACTTGAAGGCCGCGTCCTCGAGCAGCGCCAGGTCGGAGATGAGCATGATGGTGCCCTTGTCCGACCGGTGCTGCGGGCAGCCGGTCGCCTCCACCGTCTCGGGCCGGTAGGTCTTCTCGAGCAGGTCGGTGAAGTACGAGTTGTCAAACACGAGCGGAGCCTCAGTCCAGAGGCCGTCGAAGCCGGAGCGCTGCTGCTTGCAGCCGCCTACCGTGTGCCCGCCGGAAAGCGCGACAATGTCACGGTCGTCGAACCCCTTCGGCGCAAACACCTCCCGAAGGTGCGACACGCCCTTGTCGCCATCAGGCAGCCTCCCAACTTGCGACTCGACCGACTCACCAGAGTCCTTGGCGTCGGGGCGGCCAAAACGGGTGACGACGTGGGGGCCTCCCATAAACTCGATCGCCACGTTCGCGGCCAGCGCCCACAAGTCGGCGTTTGAGATCACGCCCGCAGTCACGTACTTGTCGGCGATCGGCTTGAGCAGGCCGATCGCCACGTCGGTCAGCCCTGCGTTTGCTTCGAAGGTGCCTTCGCCGGAGTCGGTGAAGCGCATCACTGCGTTCGGACAGCCACCCTTGAGGCTGCCGTTTGAAAACACGCCTGCATCGTGCCACGATAGCCGGATGAGAATCGGACCACAGTTTTTGGCGGCGAGGAGCGCTTTGACATCCGCCACGATGTGCTCGAGCAGCGACTTCCCGTCGCCGGCTTTGCTGATGTCGCCAGCAGCTGGGACTGTGTAGGCGTGAGCCATTTGTGTGTGTTTGTGTGTTTGTGTGTGTGTGTCACGACGAGGGCGAGCTGTTAAGGCGTCGACACGAAGGCGAGCGGGGAGCTGTGTTCCCTTCCGACGCTGGGCCTGTTTTTTCTTCTTTTCCCTCTAGCTCTTCGAAGTTGTTCAAAGGGAAGACAAAAAGTGTTCTTGCTGTAAGTGTTTGTCGGTCAGTGGTGCACTACTAACCTCCGAGAAACCCTTCGCGCTTCGGGTCGATCCTCATCGCAAACCCTGTCAGCAGAGTCCTCCTACCGAAAGCCACATACGCTGAGAGAGAGAAAAACGGTAATAACCGGGGTGGGAGGGAGAGGGGCTTCGTCTATTACAGCATGTCGTTTGAAATTCGTGCGTCCTTCTTCGTTCGACATCAACGCGATGGCGCAGTAGTTCGACGATGACGCCCGTTCGATGCCATCTCCTCGTCCGAGCCCTGACACGGTTCTCCATCATCACTGCTCTTTCGACGGCTCTGACTCTCGGAACCCTCGCCTCGCTGGACCCACACAATCCAAAGGCGAGTGGACGCCTGTCGAGTGAGGCCGCTGCTGGCGCGGCTTACCTCGGGGCGCTTCTCGTTGGTCTTGTCCTCTTCTCGTGGGTCCGCATTCTCCTCTTTCCCAGCGCTGGCAAGCGCAGCGTCGATGAACCCGAGGCCCGAGCCGACCGCGGCGAGGGGTCTTGGCGGACCGCTCTCGCCAAGGCGCACAGCCCAGCCCACCTCCGCCCTCGCGTGGCGTGGCCAACCATCGCTCTGGCCGCGGCTGGGCTCGGCACTTGGATTGGCGCGGCCTGGCTCGGCCACACTGGCCTGCTCTCCACGCCGTTCGCCTCCCTCCTCTGCACCGTCGGCATCTTCCTTTGCTTTACACCCATGCACGATGCCGTCCATGGCGCCGTCGCTCCCAAATGGCGCACTCTGAACACCGCCGTCGGGATGGCCGCCTCGCTGCCCTTCGTTGGCATGTACCGAGCCTTCCGCCTCATCCATCTCGCCCACCACGCTCACCTCAACGAGTCCGAACTCGATCCGGACCACTGGGCGGGAGCCGGGCCGCTCGTCTTGCTTCCGCTTCGCTGGGCGACCGGGTTTTACTACTACGTCTCGTTCGCCATCGAGCGCTCCGTCGAGGAGCAGGTAGATTATCCGCAGCGGAAGCCGGGCAGATGGCGCAACGTCGTCGAGCTCGACCTCGCGGCCACGCCCGCCGTCTACATGACGGTGCTCTGGTGGGTGTGGGACGTGTCTGCAGTCGCGTTCTGGCTCTTCCCCTTTGTTGGCGCCGCGACCTACCTCTTGTACACCTTCGACTACCTGCCGCACCGCCCGCACAAGTCGCTCGACCAGTACCTCGCGACGTCGGTCACCACGGGCGTGCCCTCGCCCCTCCTCTCCGTTCTGCTGCTCTCGCAAAATATGCACAACATACATCACCTCGCCCCGTCGGTGCCCTTCTACCGTTACGGCGACGTGTGGCACGTCTGCCGAGAGGAGCTGCTCAAGAGCGGCACCCGCCAGCTGCCGTGGGTGCTCTGGCCGACGAGAGAGCGCCACCTGCGCGAGCTGGGGCGTGGGGGAGGGGGTGGGGGCTGGGGGGCGCCGCCGGCGCGCGGCGGCCGGCGGGGCCCGGGGCACCATCACCTCCCCCCAGCCACGGACGCCCACGGCACCAGCGACCTGGGGTCGGGGGCCGCGTCCACCCCACATATTTGATCGCGTCAAAAGTCACAAAGCGGAAAACGTGACCGAGAGAATTTAGCAACTGTCCACAGTCTAGTGTGCATTAATTCCACTATAGTCTATCTCTCTTGCCGGGGACACCTCTCCCGGAGTCTCCGCGGCGTCACTCACAAGTGACTCACACAGGCGCGTGTCCGGGCTGCAAAATCTCGTTTGGCAACGCCTCGGCCGGAGCCGCGTCGGCGGCACTCGTGGCAATAGTGATGAGTGGAGCGTCGACCGGCGACGACGCAAGCTCAGCGACCGCCTCAGGCAGCACCATCTCCGCCGCCACCTCGCCGTGCGACGCCATCGGCATCGCCACCGCCACCGCCGCCTCTGCAATGCCCAACTGCCCAACCCCGTCGCTCCCCGCCGGCGCAAAGTGCTTCCACGCCGCCGCGCGGCTCGAGTGCCTCGACCCGTCGGGCGCCACGTACCAGTACTCCTTCTTCTTCTCGTTGCGCACCGCGCGCGTGTAGCCCGGCGGCGTGTCTGCGCGTGGCTGTCCAGGCGGCGCAGGGCTGAGGGCGGGCTCGCCCGCGTCTCTCGCGTCCGCCGGAGTGGCGACTTCGGGAAGAGCAGCCGCTGTCGCGTGAGTGGCCGGGAGGGCGGAAGCGTCGCCCGCAGGCGCGACGCTCGAGCGGACAGCGTCGGCCTCGGCTGCAGACGGCAGCACCATCAACGGTGGCACCGCCTCTGCGAGGACCGCCTCGGCGACCGTCGGCAGCTCCTCTCCGGGCGCCGTCGCGGCGCCGTCCGCCGCGGGCGCGCCCTCCGCAGTGCGCTGCTCCCCCGAGTGGTGCTTCCACGCCGCCGCGCGGCTCGACAGCCGCGTGCCGTCCGGCGACAGGTACCACCACTCGTGCTTCTTTGCGCTGCGGACCAAGCGCGTGAAGCCGGGAGGGAGCTCGTCGCGGGGGCGAGACTCCCTCGGCTTGGGCGACGGCTGCGGGGCGGCCTCCTCCTCCTGCCCCGCCTCCTGCCTCGCCTCGCCCGCCGCCAGAGAGGCCGCCGCCGGGGCGGGGTCCGCCAGGGCGGGCGGCGCCTCGCCGAGCGCGAGTGCGGCCGAAGGTGCGGCAGCGGGCGAGGCCACGGCGACGAGAGTGAGGGCGGTGGAGTCGAGGGAGGAGGTGGAGGAGGTGCCCTTGATGGCAGCGAGCGCGGCGCTCGCTGCGGCCGCCTCCACCTCCTCCGGCACCGCCGGCGCAAAGTGCTTCCACGCCGCCGCGCGGCTCGAGTGCCTCGACCCGTCGGGCGCCACGTACCAGTACCTGCGGAGGAGGGGCGAGGCGCTGACGAGGGGCGAGAGGGGGAGAGGGGGAGAGGAGGAGAGGGGGGGGGGGGGGGGGGGGGGGGGGGATTTTCTTCCCCTCCCCCCCGGGGGATCGATCCTCCGCCCCCTCAGCAATCGGGGGCTCAACCTCGGGGGGTTCCTATTCGGGGGGGGGGGGCCTGACCGGGCTTTTTCTACTTCGAGCCCCCCCGTTGTCACCCGGAGGGGGGAGCCCATCCCCCCGCATGTTTGAGAAGGGTGTAAAAGCTGGGGGGGTTTGAACGATCCGCGCCTGAGGGAGCACACCCCCTTGTTGGGGGGGAGAAAGCTTGTTGCTCTCCTTCCCCGCGATGAGCTGACTGGGATCGCAAAAGTGCATGCCAAGCACC